AGGGGGGAGGCTGCAGGTGGCATGGCTGTTAAAGGCGCTGGACTCCCCCATGGCCGACAAGGTTCTAGCCCTGGACCTGGCAGCTGGCTTTCTCTTTCTCTTGCTCTGTCCTCTCTGGTCAAACTAAAATAAATAAGTAAATAAAGTTAAATAAAATAGTTCTTTTAAAAATATATAAAGAAAAGGAAATTTAAAAACAACAACAACAACAACCCTGCTTGGGCACGTGCGTGCGTGCCCAAGATCCCAAGAGGAGAATGGAGAAGGGATTGCGGCATGGCCATCTCCCCAGGGCATGATTTCTCACTTTCTGTCTCTCTCTCTCTGGTGAGCACTTGTGTCCTATAGCAAAACTCTCTCTTAAAAAAAAAATAGCGAAGAAGGGGCCAGCAGGTGGCATGGTGGTTAAGGCTCTAGACTCCCACAAGCTGGCAGCAGTTGGAGTCGGGGACCCGGCAGCTTGCTCTCCTCTCTCTCTCTCTCTCTCTGGTGAGTGCCTGTGCCCCACAGCAAGATAAAAATAATAATAATAAAAAATATAATTAAATAAACATTTCCTTTACAAAAAGAAAAAAGGTAAAGAGGCTTCCATGGACCCTCACAGACAGGAAGAGCCGTGCTTCCCTACTGGACTGGGGCTTGGGAGAGGGAGGCGGACATGAGCCACTCACCTGGGGGAGGTACCCACAGCAGGTCACCACGGCAAACCCAAACTGGTCCACGAAGGGCCGCCCTGCCTGCCCGCCTCCTCTCCCTTGCAAGCAAACGGACAGAAATAAAGACGACCATTAGTGCCCTCGCTCCCAGAGGCCCTTGGCGCCCACTCCTGCAGCTCAGTGTCCTCGGGGCCTGACCGCAGCACACTCTGCTGGCTCGGCCCGTCCCTGACGACAGGTCCTTGATCGCCGCTAACCAGGGCCAGGACAGAGCCCTTCTAGCCAACCTAAAATAATCGACAGCACCTGCCTCCCAGAAGTGCTACCAGAAGACACTCAGAGGAAAACTCAGCTTTAAAAAGATAGGGGGGCCAGATGGCATGATGGTTGGGGCACTGGACTCCCACATGGCTGACCGTGGTCCAAGTCCCGGACCTGGCGGCTTGCCTTCTCGCTTCCTCTCTGTCTCCCTCTGATCAAACTAAAAGATAAGTAGTAATAACAAATAAAATTAAATAAATAAATGTTTAAAAAAAGGGGTGGCAGCAGGTGGTGTGGTGGTTAAAGTGCTGAACACTCCCACATGGCTGACCAGGGTTTGAGTCCCAGACCTGGGGGCTTGCTTTCTCACTTACCCTCTGTCTCTCTTTGTGTCTCTTTGGTCAAATTAAAATAAATGAGTGAATAAATAAAGAAAAAAAGAGGACATTATTAAAAGAATCCAGTCAGCAGCCCATCAGAAAAGGAAGGTTTTCAGGGGCCATACATTGGCATTTAAAACGCAGATAAACTGCTCAATCTGTGGCAGCTCCCTAAATTCAAACCTTGGCAGGGACCAGCAGATGGTGAAGCGGTTAAGGCTCTGGATTCCCACATGGCCACCGTGGTTCAAGCCCTGACTAGTAGCTTGCTTTCTCACTTTGTCTCTCTGGTGAGTACATGTGCGCTATAGCAAATTAAAAATAACGACAGGGCCAGCAGGTGGCAGAGTGGTTCAGGTGCGAGGCTCCTATATGGCCCACTGCAGTCTGAATCCCAGACCCAGCAGCTTGAAGCTCACACCAGGCACGTGTACACGTGCCCCAAATCCGAAGAGGAAACTGGAGGGAAGGACCTGCAGTGTGGCCCTCCCTCAGCGGAGCGTTCTCACGCGCTCTCTCCAGCAAGCACATGCTCTCTATAGAAAAATCTCTTCCCCCACCCAAAAATACCAGTAATAATAACATTAAATGAATCTTTAAAAAAAAGCGCCACAGCTTGGACATGGGAAGCAGGACAGGCAGTGTGAAGGGGGCTGTCCGCAGATTCCCATAGGTCGGGGCATCTGTCTGCCCTGGGCAGCAGTCTCCTGTGTCTGTTTCTGAATGTCAGCTACTCTGCCTAGCAATGACCAGATGGAGCCCCTGGCTACCGAATGTCAGAGGATGGGATGCCGGACAACTCCCTACAGCTGCTTTCACGCCACGCTCTAGAAGGGCAGACACGAGGGCTGTCATTACACACGTAGAGTATTCCCAATCCTTTTTTTTTTTAGGGGGGAGAGGTTTTGCTATAGGGCACGTGTGCTCAACAGAGAGACAGAGAGCGAGAAATCACCTCCCAGGGGGGATGGTCACGCCGCAATCCCTTCTCCTCCATTCTCCTCTCGGGATCTTGGGCACACA